ATATTCAGAGTGGCATGAAGGTCTATAAAAATTATTTCAAACAAGAAAACTTTCAATTCTCCAAATAAAAAGAAACAAAAATATCAAAAATTATGTGTATTTTAAATTTCCACATAAAAGAGCTAAATAGTCTCTAAGAAATCTGGGTACTGATTTCAACACTCTTTGTGGGTTGACAGATTTTCTAATTTTTACATGAATAATTAACATAAATGATTTTTTGATTTAGCCAATTTCAATCTGATTAAAATTGAAACTTTATCATTATTACGAAGAATTTGGGCTTAAAAAAGGACTCCAATATTTCTTATAGTCTTCAAAAAATAAATATGAATGTAATGACAGTATGAAGATTAACAAATGAAAATGTGTTTAATTTTCTTTTGTGTACTTCTTTTTTTTTTTCTTTTTGATAGTAAATTGGTATATCTAAAGTCACAAAAAAAAAATTGTTCGTCAAGTGAAGGTAGATTTTAGCAACAAATCCAAAACTAATAAATATTTCAAACCTTACAAATGACAAAGGAATGAAAAAACAAAACAAAAAAAAAAAACAGCTATGGCAGAAGGTAGAGAAAGATGTAGAGAAGCAGTATTAATATAATTCCCCTGATCTTGTTCAATGCTTGAAAGATGACCAGAAATATGACATGCTCAAATTCATTCTAAATGATAATTGCAGACTAAATAAAGCAAATGTAGAGATTTAGGAAAGTGAGATTTTCTTTGCTCAAAAGATTGTTTTTAAATTGCAAAAGGAATATGAAAAAAGTGAAGTGCAAAGATTTTAGAAAGAGAGAAAGAGAAAAAGCCAAAAATAATAAAAATGTTAAGATATGCACACACACAAGAGAGAGAAGCAGATACGAGATTTTAATAAGAAATGAAAGATCTTTTAATTTGAAGCTATGAATGAAATCAATAAAAATTTCTATTTTATTAATGCATTTTATATCTTGTGTAGTTTCCTGGAATATAATTTAACAAATTCATTTATCAATGAATCATTTAATTTCAATTACAAATAAAGTGAATATAAATTTCTATTAACAATTCTGAGAAATTACCAAAGAAAAAATCATTTGATCAAATGGTTCTATTGTATTTTTTATGTTTGTGCATTTTAATACTGATGTTTTTTTTTTCACTATAGTTGATTATTTTAACTATGACAATATAAAATGACACTAAAAGAATAAATATATGCAATTATTTTTGCTTATTCTTGAGTTTTTTATTTTGTATAATGGGAAAAAGCTAAAAAGAAAAAAAAGAATAAACTATACAGAAAATAAAAATAAGTTAAAATAAAATTAAAAAGACTGGATTTAAATTTCTTAATTCTTTATCCCAATGGGATGAGATTTTAATAAAACATATAGAAAAAAAAAAAAAAAAAAAACATATCCCTTATTACCATCTTAAAAAAATAAAAAAAAAATAAACATAGAAAAGAATACTATGCTATGCACACAACCAGGACAGACCAGATAAATAATAGAAAAATCACAATGAATAACCTTTATTTGAAGGCAGTCATGTGATTAAATGAAAAAGCAAGGCCAGAGAGAGTCCCAGAGCAACAAGTCCCGAAAGTAATTTTGGACAAATTTTCAACAAAAAAGGAGGAATATGTCATACTATTTCCCAGTAAGTAATGTTCTCCAATTGCATTCCTTTCTTTCTGGTTGGTCTAAGGATGACACGACCATGCTTATTTTTATGATTAGGCCATTTCATTTTCTTCTCTTCCTAAACAAGTGATATTTTAATTTTATTAGATAACTACATGAAAATTGTGAGACTGATACAAACCAATTCTGAAAAGTAGATAAATATTTAATAAGCAAGCATTAAAACTGAATTTCCAAGGACCTGAAAGTATTTATTCAGCTTCATAAAGTTACAAAATTCATTCTGATTGCCAATTTTCTAATCATAAACAAATGTAGAATGTTAATATTTGCTTTCATATAAAGAGTTTTCTCTGAGTTTGAATGAAATATTTTTGGCTTAAAAATCACCTTTTTGCATATTTATCATTGTTGGTACATTTATCTGACAGGGAAAGCTGGTCATTATATTTAAATGTCAGCCTTAAGAGATTTCAATTGTTAAATCCCTGCAGTTCTAATTTGTTGAAAAATCTGAATATGTGATGTTAGTTTAATTAAATAGATATAATCTCAGAAACAGTTAAGAATCAAGTTAATTTTATATGAGGGTAAAACAGATTTCTCTTTCAAATTTAGCCTTCTTCGTAGATAATTTATTACAGATACAGGTTTGGAAATCTACAACTTTGTAAAAGTTGTATATTTTCATTGTTTCTAGTTGATCATGTGATAAGTATCGAAATACTTTGCTACCTGATTGCGACCATATTCAGGCACTCTCGAACTGTAAGCATGTACCTGTGTATAGGTGCTTCCAGCCTTAAAATATTTGTATTCTTAACTGAAAAATGATTTGGTAATAATACAATTTTCTCACAGCCTAATAGTATTTATTTTTTGATCTTGTTAATATGTGATTAATAAGCAAGAAGATGGGATTAATTATTAACATTTTAGTATTTATTCACATTAAAATACTATAGTTCATCCAATGTATCTTTAAAATGGTGTTTATTTCATAAGTTTTAGCATTAAGAATTGATATTAAGATTTTAATCCCAAACCATATTGTTTGCTCAACAACAGCAAGGTCATATTTTATAAAAGAAAAAAAATAATCTTACAAAAAAAAAAAAAAAAAAAAACAAACCATTATACTAAGATTCTTCAAACATTTCAAGAGTTACTAACATAATTTTAAAATGTTAAACTAAATTAATTGGATCCTGTGTAGTAGATCAATGACAAAAATGCAGAATAATTGTTAACTCGCTTGGATTATTCTTTCACACTCAGTAATCCCTTGCATCTTAGTAGCTTTATTGCTTCCCTTGGGGTAAAAAAAAACTTGAAAAAAAAAAAAAAAAAAAAAAAAGGATTAATATCAATTAGCTTAGATAAAGAAAAAAAGATCCTTAAGCTTTGGTTGCAAACTGAAGGAAATGGAAAAACTTCTCTAAAACCTCTTCTAATATTGGATTTTATTGATTAACAAGTGACCTGTAGGTAGAAATGGTAAAATGATTATGAAAATACACAAATCATGAAGAACTGTGTGCATCCAACATATTCATCCAAAACCTTATGTATCTTATCTGTAAAGAAATGATGATGATAATGATGATGATAAGAGAAATGTGGCCTTATATGGTTTTGGCTTCTTTCCTTTTATTAATATGAATATAGGGGTAAGAAATTAGGTCCTCTTCCTAACATCTGCACTAAAAACAAAGATGATTAATCTAACCAGCAGGCAATAGAATGTTCTTACGCCTAAGAATGTTTATCACCAATAATTATACTTTATTACTGGTGGATTATATTTGCAATATCAATTGTTTTTAAGAAAAAATTTAAAGTCATGTTTTGATTGATGGAATTATGTGTATAGTAAGAAGAGATATAAAAATGCAAGCTTCATTTATAATTATACACCAATAAGGAATGCTGAAGATGTCAGAATGCTGAAATTTAAATTTTTTTTTTTTTTTTTTAGATGTATCTGGGTATATAGTCTAACCAACTTCATTCAATTTCCTTATGTCTTTGCTTTTATCACTTATTAACTATCCCACATTATGATAATAGAAGATCTGCTAAGAAAGGTGAAATGTAAACAAAACAAACATAAATTTACCATGGATGATCTACCAATCTTTCTATACACTATAATTTTAGTAAATTGCTTTCTTTTTTAATTAAAGAAACATTAAAAAACCTTTTCCAAACATAACTTGTGTTTTAACCCTGAACTACAAGTCATGGGAAAGGAGCTTTAATCAGTATAATTCTTAAATTAAAATAAATCTTTATATAAATATAATTCATTAATAGGCAAATATTTTTTCATAAAAAAAAAAAAAAAAAAAAAAAATTATTCTAGTCAATTTAATTTTTTTTTATTTCACTAAGCTTAATACAAATGAATTTGTTATATGAATGTTAATGCCTTTATTTAGTAATTTACTAAAGTAAATGAGGTGAGCCACACAGAAATTATGCAGCTAATATTTGTGTAATTGAATTGTGAATCACGTAAAAAGATGTTTTCAAGACAAAATTAAATAAACAAACCATTTATAAATTTGCAAAGAACAAAAAGTAAAATTTGAAAATATCTATTAAAAGAATTTGCCCATGTGAATTATGCAGGGAGTCAAATGTTTTCTTCTCAGTAAGAATCACAAAACAGTTGAAAGATGTCAAAAATGAATTCCATTGTCCAAATAAATCTTGAACTGAATTTCTGGCAAATTGGTTTTTTGAAATAATAAGAAGCATTTCAGGAGGAAGGAGACAAAATTTAGCTAAAGTTACTTATTTGTTTTGGAAAGTGAGATATTCAGGAATACTTAAAGAGAAAAAGTTTTTTTGCAAAAGTCTGGAATATAAAAAAAAAAAAAAAAAAAAATGAACACAGATCAGAACTGAAATCTTATTTAACAATAAAAATAGTCAAAGTTTTAATAAATTAGGCTCGGTATTATTATTAGTTTCATTGTTTTTAAATCTAAAACATTTTTAAAGGATTTAATTTAAAGACTTTATAAAATTTGTTTCATGTAAAAGACTTTTCAAATTATTTTGAGTATTATAAAAATTCCTTAAAACTAAAAATTGGAAAAACATAAAACAGGCTTTAATTTTTTTTATTACAAAAGACTGGAATTCTTGAAAACAAATTAAAAAATACATACATAAAAAACAGAACAAGTAATATTTTGAATTATTCAATTTAATGAGTAAAAAAAAAACAAAAAAAAAAAAAAAAACAACAGCTAAACAGACAGAATCAGAACATTTAAGACATACAATTAAAAACAAACCAAAACCCAGTAAATCACAAAATAATGTTAAAATTATAAAAATTAAAAAATGACTTACTCGCCCTTCTTTCTTGTCATGGCCAGCAACTTGCCCAGTGGCTATCCTAATTTTATCTGGATGGATAGTTAGGCTGAAAATAATATATAAGTAGGTAAAGTCATGTTTCATCATTTGCACAAATTAATGTCTAAACAGGCTTTTCATGCAGAATTTTGTTCCATTTGTTCAGAGTTAATCTAGAGTTTCTGAAGCCAATACTGTGTGTGTGTGTGTATATATATATTATATATATATATATATATATATATATATATATATATATATATAAAAAGAATTAATATATTTATTTTTAATCTGGCATTTATTTTTATTACTTTAAACTTTATTATAGTAGATACTTGTATTTGAAATAGATGCCCCATTTTTATTTTTACTTTAAAAAAGGTGTATTATGCCCGCCTATTTGAGAAATCTTAAAGAAAATGTGCTTCCCAGCAGGAATGAAATTTATATCCCTTTTTGTAGGGAGAAACCACCATTAGATCCAGTGTGCTTTAGCAACTCAGCTGCAAAGAATGTCACAGTAAAGTGAGGCTCTATTTTCTCTTTTAAGGAAAAATACTTCCTCACTATATATATTTTTTCAAAAGCCCAGGTCGGCTCAGTTTCATATCCAAAACATTAAAAAAAGCAGTTCCTAAAAAATTAATGGAATGGATTCATTTTTAATCCACATTGTTTAAAGTAAAAAAATAGGGTTTTCTATTTCAAATATGATTATCCATTCTAATAATGTTTGAAGTAGTAGTAGCAATTGTATGCATATATATATATATATATATATATATATATATATATATATATATATATAATATGATTCGTTAAAAACAACTGACAAGGTATTGCAATTAAGCTTTTCATTTTTCGTGTGTATATACAAGTATTTTCTTTTCTGGACAGAGTGTAAAAACTGTCTAAAAGTTCTGCATATCTAAGTGTATTCAGCTATACTTTTAGCCATTATCAAAGATGATTTTATTTTTAACCAAATGTGTGTATCGTTTTATCTAGAGTTATAGGAATGTTTTATTTTCCAAATACTGTCAGCATATTGTGTCTGTGTTCATAGTTAATGTTATTGGGCATTGGCTTTTTTCTTTTTTATTATCAGGGCTTCCATTGTTTTTAATATATATATATATATAAATATATATATATATATATTTTTTTTTTTTTACATGTTGATGAGGTTATTATGCTTGTATTTTCTACTAGTTTGTTTCTAATGGAGCCTGGTAGATTTTTGTGTGTTCAAATGAATCCTAATGTAGTTACAGTTGGGTAGGTGTGACGTAAGTCGTCTGGATAGGCATGTTGTAGTGTGACTGATGTAATTATTTATGAGTTTGGTTTGATCAGGAATGCAGTTCCTTAAAGGGCATTTGAACTCATGACTAATGTTGATTCTTTGATTTCACAGGTGTTTTGTTATTTTTGATGTTTTAATTTTTTTGTAATAGATAATCAAGTTGACTGGGGTAGTTTTTTGAGGATATTTGGTTTGATGGATGGAAGTGGGACAAAATTATTTGTGTACACAAAGTTAAGGATTATGCCAATAGTTTGATCAATGGGGACATTTGTGAATAAATTTTCAATGTCAAGGGATGCTAAAATACCTTTATGTTGGTTTTATACTTTTTTAGAATTTGAAGGAATTTGTGGGTTGATGTGATGCTGTAATTAGTGCCTAGGTATGGTGTAATGATCTCATTAAGGAATTTTGATAGCTTGTAAATAGAAGTTGGGATCTGAGAAATGATTGGTTGTAGTGGCTATCTGGTTTTGTGTATTTTTATATTTCTGTATAGGTATCCTGGTTGGTAGTCTAATGATTTTTTTGATTAACAGGGAACCAACGTCAATGTTATTAGTTTGTTGATGGATCTTTTTATGGTTTCCGTGGAGTTTGTTTAATTTAGTGAATTTAGATTGGTCATCGATGAGGTGTTGTAATTTTTCATGGTAGCTGGCTTTGTCCAAAATTAAATATGTGCTATCAGCTAATCTGACGACAATATTGGAATTGATTTTTTTAGTTCTTTTGTGGCAATTTTTAGTTTTGTTGTGTTATACACAAGCGTATGGTTGCAAGAAAGAAATACGGCAACAGTAGAAATAGATTTACGCGGTTTATTTCAACAGGAACGTGTGGGTTTGGGACAGCTACCTTGTGGTAAAGTTCATAAGCCAGCTTTCGGATCTGGTCGATCTCTCATAGTAGTTCACACATGTTGACGGTGGTTGATGCTCCACTGCTGCTGATCGCTCGGCCTGACCGTCAGGTCTGTTCGCTGGCCACCTGTTGACTGCCGTTGAACTTCCGTGTGACCCCTTTTATAGTGTTTTTTTTTTATGGCTTAACAGGCTCGAGAAACGAAGCGAGTATAATTAGGAGGGAAGCATTTTTATTAGACGAAAAATACAGCACTTTAAATATTATTTTATTTTTCGACCGGAACACTTGTGTCGGGAACATTTGTGAAGAAAGATAATGGTCATTTTGTGACGGGGCTTTGTCCAGTTTACATCCGGTTCTCGCTCTTGAGTATTTGCCTGTAAATCAGCCGAGATATATCTTATTTTATTTTATAACAGTTGTTTGGATATTATTATAGTAGTTGTGAAGAGAGTGGTCTTTAAAGCCTTCTGTCTTAAGGAGGCCTCTCAGGTCTGCATGAACTGCTGTATATCCATGAGCCTCAAGGATAGTGATTGGTGTAGAATTTCAATTTCAATTTTCATAGTGAGGAGGTCAAATTTAGGTTGGAGATGGCAATTTGGCCCTAGCTTTTGGAATTCTTTTTGGTCACCTGTTAATAAATAGGTTTAAATATTTATCACTGTTATTGTGTAGTAGAATATTTCCTTGGTATAGTTTACATAGCCTTTCTGTAATTATTTGTCTGTGTGTAAGTTGGTGTTCATCATCTTTGCTTAAGGTGTTTTTTTAGTGCCTCGTTATCTTTGTGGATTTATTTAAATGTTGGATGTCATTTTTAGCTGTTTTTATGAGTTCAAATGCCTCTGAAGGAACTGTGCTCCTGATCAAACCAAACTCATAAGTACATTGGTCACGTTACCAGATGACTTGTATTACACCTACCCAACTATAGCTCCATTAGGATTCATTTAAACACACACACACACACAAACCTACCAGACTCCATCTGAAACATACTAGTAGAAAATACAAATAATAACCTCATCAACATATAAAAAAATATTAAAAATAATGGAAGCTCTAATAATAAAAAAGAAAAAAGCTAACACTCAATAACATTAACTATGAAAATAGCCACAATATGCTGACAGTATTTGGAAAATAAAACATTCCTATAAATCTAGATTCATACATAACTCAACCCATACATTCAGTTAAAAGTAAAAATAAAATCATCCTTTCATCATACTAAAAGTATAGCTGAAAGTGTTTTATTTTTTTTATTTTACACACATACACATATATGAAAAACATATCTATCAAATGTTTTTTAATTACATATCCCCAGTTTGTATATAAGCTGTTGCATATTGAGGTCAAATATGTATGCAATAAACATGAAAGAATTTGGTTGTTTGGTTAGAATTTGAGAAATGGGGTCAGAAATTTTTTTAGCACTCATTCACTGAGTCAACTGCATAAGATTCAGGTTAGTTTTATTCAAATAGAATTTCTGTGAATGTTTTGTCTACTTCTGTTATCAAAATGTGGTAGACTCATTTGATGGCCATGTTTTTTTCTTGAAAAGCCTGTTGTTCTGTATCTTTATAATTTTACTTGTTAAAATGGTCATAAAATTAAATAATAATTTTAAAGAAATTTGCACTAATGTTTTCAGTAGGAAAGTTTAGTTTATGTCAATCCAATGTTTGTAGATAATACTTAAGTTAAATGTTACTAGTTTATTTTTTCTAAATTACTGAAGGTTTTCATGACTTTCCCCAGGAAAGAAAATGTTTGTTTGTTATTTAATAATGCAGAAACCATAGAAATGTTTTTGATAATATAAGCAAAATTATGTTTATTATAGTAACCAATGAGGTGTAGATGCATTTAATTTAGAGCAGTATTTAATGATGTATGGATGTATGAAGGTGCACTGAAAAGTTCTTGGCCCAAGAAGACCTTACAAAAACAAACAAAAAACATTAAAAATTCAGTGTATTGAAATATAACAGCTCAGTGTCATTAGCCAGTCATATCTGGAAAACAGTTTATTAGAAAGAATTGATTTACCCTACCCAGAGTTTAATAATGCTGGAAATTTAACAGATGATGAAATAGATGTGTGTGTGTGTGTGGGGGGTTACCTCACATATGTCAAGATACCCATTAAATGTCATTCTATTCAGGCCTATAAAAGCATAGCGTATAAACACACTTTCAGCTCAGAGATGTAGTAAAAATAACATGACATTTGCCACCACCAAGAAATTTCTTTCTTCAAGCAAACTAATTCCTTTCAAACAGTGTGGACATCAAGCATGCACACAGTACGTCTCAGTACGAAAAAATGCTTTTCTTCTTTCCCTTTTTATAAAGCAATCTGTATACATTTAAATTTAATTTTTTCTTTCTCTTCTTTTGTGAGATATGTGGTTCTTTATATATATCAATATGTAAAATTCCTCCATGGGTTGAAATTCATTTCTTTTGAAAATAATTCATTTACTTTCAAAGTTTTCACATCCTAATCAGTAATGAGTTGTAACTCCTGCTACAGAATGATGACCAACAGTAATCTCATCCATTACAATCCTGTAGCATCCATTTGCTACAGATAAAACATTTAGTCACAGATACAATACAAGCCAGACATATAACTATATATGTACAATATATATACAATGGTATACAAGTAGCATAGTCTAAGGCCTTAGTTTTTATGATATATCTTACAAGTTGAAATATTATCTTATGGTTACCACTCATGCTATTTTGTATGATTAACATAAGTTTCCATAAGTTATTTTCTAATTTAAAAAAGAATTAATAAAGAAGATAACATTGACATTTTATATCAAATACACTTCAAATTGATTATTTCTGTTTGAGTATTGAAAATCTAGACATTGTTAATATTTGGCAGCATGTTTTATTTTAGAAATTGGAACATTGATGAATTAATAATGACCAGACAAAAAGGTAGCGAATTAAAAAAAAAAAATTGTATAAAGATGTACTTACCATTTGACATCATCTGTGTGTCCCAGATAATGACGCTGCATCTGCTCCTCAACATTGTATAAAACTACAGTGGCCGCTACAAAATAAACAATCTCTCCAGTTGGCAGGTAATGCAAGTTGGAACGGCAATCACGTCCTCGATAGCCATAACTGAAAACCAATGGTTAAGGAAAAAAAAAAAAGAAAAAACACACAAGGCAATTGAGAAAAAAATGGTACATTTCAAGAGCTTATGATATTAAATGTTGAATATATCCAAGTAAAATCTTATTGTACACTAATTCAAATGAAGGATTTTTAGTAATCTAGTAAAAAAAAAAAAATTCCTGGTTATAAAATTTTCTATAAAACTGAATTTCTAAAAGAAAGAAATATGCCCTTCATTTACAAAGGTAAATTTTCCAATAGTTATTGATTTTACATAAAAAGGGCTAACCAGCCATTTGTGTGTTTATATATTTTAGTTCACTACTTTAAATCAAAAATACTATTATTAAAATTAAAAACAAAAATTGTTAAGGAAATAATTTTTAAGAAAGTAAAGGATTTTTAATCCAACATTATTTCTTCTTCTAAACATATTTAGATAGGTACCTCCACGAAATCGCTAAAAAAAGAGCATAGCTTGATGAAAAAGACGCCAACCTTGCCGAAAACTAAATTTTATTGTCTAAATGCTTATGTTATTATTAAGAGGAAAGACCAAAGTTTTTTTTTTAATTATTTTTAAAAATTTTTCCTTCTTTTTAGAACATTCTAAATTTTGATTAAAAAAACCTTTTTTCTATTTGTATCAGCGGAACTAGAACATAGACAATTTTTAGCACGTTTTTTTGGTATGACACATTAATTTGAAAAATCGTGCAAAAATAGAAATAATTATCGGATGTTAATGAAACTTTCAGGAACTATTCACAGATGATCGAAATTATTATAAATATGTTTTTTTATGAAAGTCATGGTAGAAATATTTTTAAAAATATTTATTACCCCCCATAACTAATTTTATGAAAACGCTAGAAATTGATCGCATCGGTTTTTAGTGATTACAATAATTAAAAGCACAGGGCTTTGGGGAATGCAAATCATGTTTTTTTTTTTTTTTAATTGGATACGCAGTACCTGAAAATCAGCTCTGAATTGTAACATACAAAAACTCAATAAAACAAAGATATTATTTAATTTCAAATGCTTTTATTTTTTTTTTAGTTGTTTTTATGAATATGGACAATATTTTCTGAAAGCAAAAAAATTTTTTCGATGAAAAATGAATTTTAATACAATTATTTGTTATTTCATTAATTATAATAGATTTTACATTTAAGTTGTTAAAATCTTATAAAATTAGTTAAAAGTCAAGATCGGCTTTCATAAGTGTCCTTATGAGATAGATCTTTTTTAGCGTTGTAAATTGTATCATTTTGACTAATCAGAAGATCCCCAGTAATTAAGAAATGTAATTTTTGTGCTTATAATCGAGCTGTAATTATAAAATACGGAAGACCAACCAGAATATAATTAAGTTGCGTTATTTGAATTAAGCATTGTTCTCCGCTGTTAAGGCCTTTAATTTTATGAAACACGTGTGGAGAAGTTAATTTGATTTTCAATTTCAACTGAGAAGGTTACCTACAAGTATCAGTATCATCTTATGAAATTTATATGATCTTATTTTTATATTAATCTCAGTTACAACATTTTTCCATAAATGAAATATCAAAATTAATAATAAAATGAATGCAAATAACAGTAGAATGTAATAAATGTACATAAAATTATAGTATTTTATGTACAATTCTGATAAAATTTCATAAGAAAGGTACCTATAAATTAATTAGATACCTTTCTTAAGAAATATGAAATTTAATGTCACTTAACAGTTTTATTTTAATTTCTTTACAATATATTTCCCATAAAGCATCATAAACGTAAAGGTGAAAGCTAAGTACAAAAAAAAAAAAATGAGACCGCTGAAAGTTTTCGTTAAAAATAACGGGGTAAATAATTTGTTCACGTAAATGTAAATTATTTCACTTTTCTCCTTCCGTAGAACAAATTAGCTTCATGGAATTCGTAAATATATCATTCATCACATGTCAAGAGACGCGAAAGTTTATGACCTGCTTTGTTTTATTTTCAAATTACATCTTTTTGGCGCAAAAAGCTAAGTTAAGTTTGGTTCAAAATATTTTAAATAAACATTATAATTTCTGATTTTCTTAAAATAAGTTTTGAAAAAATGATAATTGATATTTAAAAAAATTTCAAAGTCAGATTTCCAGTTTTTTTTTTTTAAATGGAAAAAATGGTCAATTTTGCTGACTCAAAAAAACTAGATTTTTTAACTAAAATTTTGGACGTGCTAGGAACGATTAAAAAATGGAAAAAATACCCCAAAATACTTTTGACCTTTCCTCTTAATAATAACAAACATTTAGATGATAAAATTTTGTTTTCGTCAAGTTTGGCGTCTTTTTCATCATGCTATGCTCTTTTTTTAGCGATCTCGTGGAGGTACCTATATTTAGTGAATAGATATCCATTTTTTTTTTTTAAGTAGGAAAATTAATGTCTACTGAGAGTGAAAATCATACTAAAGAAAATATGTTTCTGACAGGAATTGAGCTTCATGATAAAGTATATTTTGCATGAAAGTAGTTTCTCAGATTAAAATGTTCAATTCCTGTTGATAGGTAAATTTTCTTTAGTAAGACTATCAATCTCTAGGCCTGTACATAATTTCCATTAATGAAATATCCATAATCCATCTTACACGCTTTAACAAATATCAATTAAATATCTGCAATGAACAAAAAGAATTTTGAAACACAAAAAATTGTGAATTTGTGCAGGAAAGTTGAAATTTAAACATAACAGTAACAATTTGTCAGTATTAGATAATATTCCATTTGCTGACATCAACACATATGCAGCATGGAATAAAAAAATATCATTTTCTTTATAAAAGCTTTTATTTGCAACAAAATTACCACATATGTGGATTTTTTTAGCTAACAAAGCTGTCTTTTATAAAAAATTTGATTTAAGCTGGTTAAGGATACACCCATTCCAACTGAAGTTTTTCTGAAGGAGCTTCCACAGTTTTGGAAATGTTAAATTCACTAACTGATGATGGCGCATACATGTTCACAGGACGGCCTCGTAAGTAGATCTTTAAATAACCTTCCTCTGAAACAAGAAAAGAAAAGGGGTTTGTTGTATTTCATACTTGCATGTATTTGTACATATTTAAAAGTTTGGGTTCAGCCTCTACAAAAAAGATGGAGGCAACAAAAAAAAAAAAAAAAAAAAAATATTCTAATAAACAATTTTTAAACTTTTCAATATTATCCATTGATAAATCAGGTGATGATGATGACAATTATTAGGTTTCGTCTTTGATATAAGAAAAAGTTATTCTACAATCTAAATTCTTTACAGAGTTTTGTAGCACAAGGACCAGTGTTAAACTAACCTTAAGATTAATTAATTCAACTGGTCACAGACTGGGGAATATAGATTGTTCCTAATTTTTTTCTTTTATAGTCTGTTTCTCCAATTTATATTTTTAGCTTTATTATCATAAAAAAAAATACTGCTCTATTCACTTTATACAAAAACAAAATACAAGAGATTACTGAAAGGTTCTTGGTCTGATCTATTTTCATCATGAAGATGATATAGTTAAAGATTAACAAAATAACCATACTTTGAAAATTAAAGAATGATTATCTCTCTCTCTCATATATAAGATCTTAAATTAAATAAAGTCTTATAACAAATCTGGCTAATACACACTGTTCTTATTAAAAGAAATTCTTCTAGCTGTATTAGTGATGCTAGACATTAATGGGTAGAAACCTACAATACACGATTTTTATAAACCTATTATTCTGGATTTTCTTTTTTAGAAACCTATAATATAGAATTTTTTATTTTATAATTAATGCCAAATTTTAATGGGTTAAGAAAATGTTGTCATGAAAACTAGAGGACATCTCATCTTTTCACAAGCTGATGCAGCTTTCAGTGACCTAACAATGAAAACTACAAGCAGATTTTAAATTCGGGCTAAAGTTATATTTAAGATAAAGACAAATCCAACCCTCTCCTTATATATAATAGAAAATATAACTGAATCTAGATTATAAGAGCAATTTCTTTAATGACAATGCAGAGGAAATATTTACATAAGTGTGTTGTAACCTAGGGAAGGCTACTGAATAGAATAATCAAATGAAGGTTGGTAATGAACGATAACACTTAGGACAAGAACAATACATATAAGATTCACCAGCAGTGCATAGAAGAAGTAGTCAACTGCTAGAAGTGAGTCAAGTGAATTCCACAATGAATCTCCAACTGGAGGATATCTACCAACCGCCCCATGCAGTCAGATGTGGCATTAGGATTCATGAAAAGTCTAAGGGGCAACTTTGCAATTTTAAAAAATCATTAACACAGAAATAATAAGTTTTAAACATTAACTTTTCTGTAACTGTCATTAAAAATAGTATTATAAAATTTTCAAAAGAAGCAACACATCTTTTTAAAAAATATTTCTCTTTTGTCATTCTTTCCTTCATCAATATTCCAATTTTTTTTATTTTGTAAAGACTTGATGGGGCGGCAGATAAAAAACAAAAGTTTCTGAGAATATTGAATAAAACTCTCTACAAGAACATATAACAGTGAATCAAAAAGTTTCATTTGATATTCTTGGGAGGTTAGTGAATACAAAAGACACCTGTGGAAGGCGGGAGGCTACAGTAACTGAAATATTATAAAGGTAGCAAAGATGAAGATACTAATCTGAAATTGTATAATTGGCAAATCAGTGAGTCACAAATCTACATTTCATAGAAGAGAATCTATCTACAATAGATTAAAGTACACTTTGTAAGTACTTATGGTTCTAATTTTATTTCTTAATTTTGTACTATTTCTGTCCAATAGTAAAATTGTTACATGTATAAAATATGTATGCAAATGTATCCATGATGATGAGACAGTGATAAAGTGAATATATTTTATTGCTTATATTTTACACTTTATTGGTATTAAGGATTACCAAGTGCAAGACTATCTTCTCAGATAGAGGAAATATGTTTAAGAAACAAATATCTTATTGATGACATTATGATAAAATCCCCAAACAAAGTCTTTAATTAGAGAGTCAAAACTTTTGATATTTCAGTTTTTAACCAACTTTCTAAAGTACTAACATTAAGTTATAGTGGTCCTCAAATTACACACTGGCATTATTATATAATTTTATATTTTTGCTTGAATTTTGTATGGCATTGCACCAATTCACATATTGGTTGGTTGATCAATCAAATGACTCAAGAGATCATTGGCAGGAGATAATGCCATGACATCTCAAGAAAAAGTATTTTACTTGGCAGTGACCATCTCATTTCTCTTAATATGAAAGGGATAGTACAAAGTTAGAACATTTGCAGGGAAGAACTGCTTGCATTTGATATTTACTTAAGAAAAACTCAATAAATATCATGAATTGGGGTGGAAATAAAGGTTCTTAAACATCATGTATTTATTTTCTGTCTGAATTTCTGAGATGAGGAGTTATTATTATTTATAATATTTACACATGAACTCCTTTTTTGTTATCACCATAACAAAGATGAGGACATTATTAACATCATTTACTGTCAGACTAATCATATATTTATGAATTAATTTTATTTTGTCTTTATAAAGTACATATTTTACTACAACACCCAATGATGGTCTGAACTGCCAAGTAAAACAACAGGTTTATGAATAAAGACAAAAGGAAAATCTTTATTCATATTGTCCTTTTACAGATATACTCTATCTGAAATTTTTACACATAAAACATTTATGATAAAGCTTTTCAGATGTGGGGAAAGAAATCCAAATCCTTTATATTTCACAAATGACAGATTTAGAAAAGCACAAAATATTAAAAAACACAAAGAATATTGGTAACACATTTGTTTGTATTACTATCTTTATCTTTGTTGTTTGTTTTTACAATACTTTAACAGCCTTTTTAAAATGGAATATTAAGTTGATAAATCATTTGTGTTTTAGAAGAAAATGAAATTAACAAAGATAGAGATATTAATGCAGACAAATACATGAATTCTTTTGCAACCCTTTTCTCATAAACCATATATTCAATATATACTTAGAATATAAATTCCCACAAAAAAGAAGCTTATTATAAAGTGTGAGAATTGAGCAGTGAATGTTTATTATGCTCAAGTTCAATTTTTATTTTTAAAAAGGACATTTCAACCAGTTTATTCCAAATTCAAGTGTTCTAATTTCCTACAAAATTAACAAAGATAAATTAACACTAAGACAGATTTCTGAAATCCAGCAATTTATTTTTACACCTTTTACTACTATTTATATATTGAAGTAAAGTGCAACATAGCATTCTAGGCAGATCAGAAGGTAATGAAATATTTATCTTAAAAAAAAAAAAAAAAAAAAAAAAAAAAGGAAGTAAGATAAGAAAAACAAATAAAATTCTCTTTGTATCAGAATATACTAATTTTGAAGCCATAACAAACCAATGAACTCAGTCTATAATAAAAAGGATTCCTTTATGTCTAGAGACAAGTTGAAATCCCAAGTATATCCTATAGAAAATATTTCACTTAATACTTTATAATAAAATAGGTAGTTATATTCTGAAAGCAGATATTTTTAAAGTCACAAACTACTATATTGTGGTATTGAGCTACTCAACAGCCAAAATACATTGGCAAATATAGATAATTGAAGGACAAAAAAAAAGCCCAGGGATCCAAGTTGGATATAAATTGATATGTTGAAAGAGGATTGTTAAAATCAAGCTTGCCAAAGAGAAACAAATAACTTAAATCCAGGATGATGTAGCCAAGTGTGTGTGTGTGTGTATATATATATATATATATATATATATATATATATATATATGCACACACACTATATGAGAATATTTACAATTGAGTAACATTTAAATGGGATGTGTGGGTTGTGCAATGGATATTAGCAGAGAAAGTGGAATTGATAAGCCAAATTCTAATTCTGAGATAGTCTGTTGTGTTCACTTTTACAGAAATGTCCTTGGTAAAGGAATGAATCAATTTATTTTCTCCCCAGTTAGGAGTTAAATGGTAGAGTAGACTGGGCTCTTTAGCTTTAAGTAGCAACCAGGAAGGAAAACTTTGAATTCCAAACTGTGGAGAAGACAACAGGAAATCACTCCACTACCTTTCCTAATAAGGCATAACAATTCAGATAAGAAAAATCTGTTGAGAGTCTTGATTGCCTACATTATGAAGGAAGAAAGCATAAAAACATAGATATTTAAATGTACATTGTTAAGGAGTGTTTTGTACTGCTCAATGTACTTTATTTATGTACCTATTTACACTATTTATATTGTTCAAACTATTGTTCTTATCTTTATTGGCATATTCACAAAATTTCGACCATTGTACACTCTGGACTTCTTTGAGTGAAATATGTTGGAAATTCAAACCAAACTCTTTATTTAGTCCATTGAGGTAGATTGTTCCCATTCCACGTGCCATGCCTTTTCTAGATACCTCAGTTTCAGTTATCTCCCTTTAGTAACGCAACTCTCCAAGTTTTGTTCACCTCTACTGTGGCCAGGTATTGAACTCACAACTCTTTGGGTCAAGTCACTGGATTACTTCAACCAATGCTTTTATTCATTGGGCTACATGTCTTTTTATCCTTATTTTTTATAAAATGCCTAATGAGAAATCTTTCAAATCACTGCTTGTGAGTTTATTCATTAATTCATACTCTATACATATGACTCTTTTGTCCAATTTGGCATTGTTTTTTGTAAGAACAATTTTTCATAAGTGTAGTAATTTAAAACTAAAGAATTTATTTCCTTCTTGTTAAAATCTGAAACAACAAATTTTTGATTTTAAGAAGAAATAAAATTTTCTTTGTCAAAACAGGAATATCAGAGTCAAGTCTTTAATTCCTACAAAAAACTATAATTTCATTGTGATTAACAAAAGTATCACTGGCTGAAATGTAATTTAAAAAAAAATAACAGATTATATACATAAACATTCCAAAATCCAAGTAACAAAAGTTTCCAGATAATCTTGTGAAGTTTTAATCAGGATTAATACACATTTTCAGTTGCTTAGTGAAGATGCAAT